TGCATCAATTTGTTGGATATTTACCCACGATGCATCGGGACATCCGGTTCTGTCCACCAGGAATCCATCACATCGAAATCACCCCTTTTGGTGCGGTGTTAGGTCGATAAAGAAGTGTGGAGTATTCAAACCCTTTCAATGAACAATTAATTCTTTTGAATGTGCAGTGATATGTACAGAAGAGTTAAGTTGTTTATTTGGCTGGAAAAAAACAGACATATTCAGCTTTAAAATGTCTGCCAGTAAAGGTTTGGCCTACGACCAAGATGTTTTGTATGAAATCGTTTTCGGTGATCATTTATACAGCCTTCGACCTGACAACGTTGACGATAAAAGATTGTTGTGTTGACGACAGGGTGGTTTTCAAGTGGCCCAGAGATTAATTACTTTTCTTCGTGCAGTGGCACAGTGTACAGTCGTGTAGATAACGCCATTCCTGCACGCAGATGAACATCCTGTGTTAACAAAGAATCGGATTCGTGTCTGATAATGTGAAAATCCCAAGAAAAGCTTTCCAACCTAGTGAAGTCTGTGTGTCGATGACATGCTTACTTAAGGCTTGGTCACCTTTCCAGACAGCCAAATCTTTCTTTTCTCATTGTTTTCGGGGCGATGGGGTAGCCTTGTGGTTAAAGCGTCCGCTCGTGACGCTGAAGCCCCGGGTTCGATTCCCCACATGGGTACAATGAAGCCCTTCCTGGTGTCCCTCGTCGTGATATTGCTGGAATATTGCTAAAAGCGACGTAAAAGTAAACTCCCTCACTCTTATTGTTTCCAATATTTTGCCGCTCATAATGGGTGCGGGCAGTTCAGTGATAGAAGTCACCGCAATTCATTACGCAGAGTTAAATGGCGGTCGTTAGTTATACCAGGATCCATCCCAGATCTTGTTTTACCATATGCATACTGAACCCGTGAAGATCCGGGTTACAACTGATCTTCAGCAACCCATGCTTGTCGTAAGAGGCGACTAACGGGATCGGGTTGTCAGGATCGCTGATGTGGTTGACACATGCCATCGGTTCACAATTGCGTAGATCGATACTCATGCTGTTGATCACTGGATTGCCTGGTCCAGGCTCGATTATTTACACTCACTTATGCATAATGTTTTGATCTTATTATCTTTATTATCATACATGACGCGATGAGATTGTTCTTCCGACCCCGACCGCCCTCTGCCACACCCATCACGCCGCTCTATGCAGCATGCATCTTTTTATGGCCCCTCCCCCACCACATTGTTTCTTTACACACCCTACCCCAAGTGGAGTACATGACCAGGCCCTTAATAATGATCAAATATATTTTCTTTTAAATATGAGAAAAATAGAACAGTGTCATTTTTAATATCCCCCTCCTGTTATAGACATTATAGGCTAGTATTTAAGTTACATTTTAGCATCTGAAGCATCAGCAAAAACAGAGTCGGCTTACTGACTTCAATGTTCAATTTGTTTAAGGCGACGTTACGGTACATTTAGTAGCTAGTACCTTTATCTGGTATAGTCTGTCTTCATTGACAAATCCTTTCTTGGATAACGATTCTACTTTTATCCCGGTCGATGACTAAATCGTAAATGTATTGACCCAAACTGCTTTTAACCATGTCTTGCTCGTAAATAGACATGTACAAGGTTCACGGAGTTTGCAGTTTAGACCTATAAAGAAGGGAGAAAGGTTTTACAGGTAGGTTAATGTGTCGCTCAATATGACTTTATGATTATAACCTTAACTTCGCAAAAAAATGTTTTTTAAAGGAACATACATTTCCTATGATCTCATATCATTCAGCAGACCAAACATACCGCGTGTCAATGATTAACCCATTTTCTGCCAGCGTTTGAACAGCAGCATCTTTTAAAGCCAAACAGTGTGAAAAATAGAAAATGGAAACAAATCCAGTCAACGCCAGCCACATATAAACAACAGGTATTTGTACCTTTCGAAATCACGCTCATCACTAAATCATTCTTTACAGGGGCGATGGGGTAGCTTAATGGTTAAGGTGTTCGCTCGTCACGTTCGATTCCCCACATGGGTGCAATGTGTGAAGCCCATTTCTGGTGTTCCCAGCCGTGATATTGCTGAAATACATGTATTGCTAAAAGCGGCGTAAAACTAAACTCACTCATTCTTTACGGTACTTCAGTTTAGCCATTTTTGACTGGTACTGGATTGGGTACAGATCAGGCTGGTTAACCGACGTCAACATGCTTTCTGTAAAGGGAGTATGTGTGCCATTCTGTAGATGTTGTGCATTATAACAGCAATCAGTTACGCGATGGCTGAGGGTTAAGAGGGTTCGTTGTACTTTTAATGCCTGATTAAGTTGTAATGACATCACAATCAATAATATACTGAACATGAATGTTGCTTTTTATTTTCTTATTCGGCCTCTCAATCGATCCCTAACCCTATATCTGGAAAAGCAGAGTTGAATAGACTTTGTTGTATACGTCGGCCAGTGGTACATCTGAATGTGGACGGATTGGTACCATTGATTCTGAATCCAGCAAACCATTGGTTGACACAGACAGTATGAGTGTGTAACTATAGATATCACTGTCGCCGCAAAATATATATTACAGTCGTACATAGCATTGAGGAAAAGAGTTCTTAAAAACTATAAAATTTCATATTCATCTGGACAGGTTCATTCTCCTGAGAGGGGGGGCAGAGACACACACACACACTCATAGAGAGACAGAGAGGGAGAGAGAGAGAGAAACAGAGAGGTTGTTACATCTAGTGGACCAAGTTACAGATTATATATAAAGTTAGCCTAGTAGCTACGTTGCCGGTAACGCGGAACACTCACGGGTTCGATTCCCAAGCAACGTAAGCACTTACACAATCACTGCGCTTATTGTGTTGTCTAAGTCAATATAGGACGTAGGCGTCGTATCACGTTCACCCATAGTAGTAGTAATATGTCATACTTGGATGTTATTCAATAGGCTTATATTACATATCAGCTCGGGTGACGTTGTGTAACAAAACTATTCAGGGGAACATGATTTTCTATTCATTCGATAAAGGGTGGACATTCAGGTCAAAATAAAACAAGAAGAAAATACTACTGCTTTCAAGTGATGAAACACCTCCATATATTCTGTTTATAAATGTTATCATTTAATGAACAAAGATTTGAATGACTGACGTTGATATGTTTCCTTTTTTAGCTCTAGGAGAATGTTCATTTGAGCCTTTTTCTTTTTTAACAACTACATGTATTTGGAAACATATTTTCAATATTTATGTACATAAAAGTAATGATATGTTTATGATCAGAAAATCACAATATAACAATGAAAAATGATAATTGATGACCTAATTTGTTTCTTAATCATAAGGGGGCGGTGGGGTAGCCTAGTGGTTATAGCGTTGGCTCGTCACGCCGAAGACCCGGGTTCGAATCCCCACATGGGTACAATGTGTGAAGCCCAGTTCTAGTGTCCCCGCCGTGATGTTGCTGGAATATTGCTAAAAGCGGCGTAAAACCAAACTCAGTCAGTCAGTCAGTCTTAATTATAATGGTTATAGCGATTATAGCTTCAATGCTCCATACGAGACACATCTCGGTCGCAAGGCACCCACAGTAGAGTATATTCAGAGTCATTAGTCATGCATGTTTACTTGTTGTTAGGAAAGACAAACACTCATTGTGTGGATCATATGTCAGCATGACAGACTAATGCCACTCCGGTAGAGGGGGTAGGTGAGGTTATAAACAACAGCCATGTCACGCATGACAATCCACGACGATTTGAAGCACCAAATATGCACTATCATGGTGGAATATCCTGTTACTTAAGACATACAGTATTTACAGTCAGGGTAGAAAGACGGCGCAGTTTGCTCGACTGAATCTCACTGCACGCAGATAGCTGAGTTGGATTAGCATAACCTCACGACTACTGTTTGTTATGAAATAAGATATCAGTGGTGACTGACATAAGAAATATATTGATATTGACACATATGTTGTCGTCGGAAAGATGGTTTATGAAATGGGCTATTTGATAAAGATTAATATATAAATGTTGTACATGCCGTATTTCTCAAGTAACGCAACCAATGTGTAAGACCTGTGAAGATCCAGGTGGGGTTTGAGCAAGATGCATGTGTGTTTGGTATGCTTGTAAGTGGCAACTGACGGTCTGTGTGGTAACACCCGCTGACTTGGTTCATACGTACTGTGATCAATGTCATTTGTGTAGATCGATACTCATATTACATAAGACTGATATATATAGACGTTACATTTGCAGTATTATTTGTAATATTCTATTCATTAGGCATATGTACACTACATACACATATCCCAATGGCGGAGATCGACGTTCATGATAGTAATCACTAGATTGTCTGGTCCAGGCTGTTACAAACATACCACTGCCATTTTACTGGAGTCCGGCGTTAATCGACGAACCAAAATAACCCAGTGTGTGTGATAATTCTTTTAAAAACTTTTATTGGAATAATGTATATTTTACAAAGCATTTGTATAATTTGGCATCTCTGATTTTTAAATATGACCCTGAATACCAATTAATGTGAACTGAATCACAGGTTCGTTACCGTTACCGACTAGGCTGGTTATGTAATACCAAACCATACTTACACATATCAATACTAGCACAAGTCAACAACTAGGAAGTATTAAAGGGCCCAACGGATTCTCTACGGTTTAGTTGAATGTGTCGCTAATTTCGTGTATTGTAGATTAACCTATTGTTGTGAAATTCTATTGTCAGGCTATCGAAATCTCTATCAGACAACAGCATAAAGCCATGCACACACCCCTCGGAGTCACGTTACGCCGCCTTGAGCTATATATCAGTTATTCACCGACCCCAACAGGTACATAACACTCATATTGTATACTCGTAGCCAAGCAACGAACTTAATTCCCCTTCCTGGCCACTAAATATTCATTATTTTGGTCACGTGACTCGTGTTATCGCAGACGGCGTGTCACAAGCGAGGCGGGGATATTCAATGTAGATACCACACGGCAACTTGACGGACGGGGAAAAATAACTATGTGATAACATATTTCGTAACGAGGGTCCATTTCGTAGAAGTAGTGTGCCGTGTTTTTTAAAGGATTATTTCGACTTCTCCGTGACAAGACAAGTGTGAATTTTCAGAGTTGAAAGTTGGAGGCTGGACCAAATCTTCGTGAGCTCTGTACATGTAAATGTCTACAGGCAAGCTGGACTTGCCTTGTGGAGGAATATTGATGCGACTCACGTGGATTTTATTTGTGTGTTTAGTGTGCGGGACACACTACCATTTCGTTGAAGGTGAGTTGCTCTGATACCTGTCAGCCTGTGGCGGGCTTCCAGACAATGTGCGTTTTGTCCGTGCAGTTACACCCCGCACGCTGTTTAATTCACAGGTGTTGAATCGATCGTTTATAGGTGCTGTAATTGTCATTTTCGTTTCATCAATTCATTTTAATATTTTATATATACTTGTGTGCTTGATTATGTGGCCAAACGAACCATGCGATTATTACAAGTGAAAAGATACGGACACGCTGTTCGAATTTCATAAAATAGTTTACACTTTTAATTTAGAAGTATTTTGTGCCATTAACAGTGTCTTTGGAAAGAGTTCCTTACGTACCCCCCGCCTATTTTTGTGATGAGCAAACACTATAGTTTAGTCTATAGTGTATAGTTTAAAGTTAGGTTGGGGGTACGTAATGAACTCTTACCGTATCTTTCAGTGACAGTAACAATAAAACTCTGGTTACACTCTAGCTCGCTTATGTTACCATTTCTTAAGGACTATTCCCTCATTTCTTCTGACTTTCATAGGGCAGTTGGGTAGCTCAGTGGTTAAAGTGTTCGCTTGTCATGCTGAAGCCCCAGGTTCGATTCCCCACATGGGTACAATATGTGAAGCCCATTTCTGGTGTCCCCACCATGATATTGCTGGAATATTGTTAAACCCAATTCACTCACTCACTCACTCACTCACTCAGACTTTCATAAGTTTCAGTAAAGAAAAGACTTGCATGGGATGCACTGGGTGTATTTGTTTCTGGATATGTGCAGACATAAACCCCTGTAGACGAAAGCCCCTTACGACAAACAAAAAACACCATGTAGGACAAAAAAACCCAAAAAACTCCAAATATGTAATGAAGATTGTTCATTATTCAAATATTTTATTTAGCCGACATCACAAACAGCAGTTTTAAATTCAATACAGAAGATACTTAAATTTATATATGGTAGATATATATATTATTAATATGTATTAATTATTAAACTTTCTGTCAAAGATGTCTTCATAGCCCCACGACAGATTAGGGCTGTACGACAGCTACATTCCCAGCCAATATATGACTTTCCAGTGCTCTACTTTGTATACATATAACCTTTGTAGCTAACTTGACACCACCCTTAGGCCAAAAAAAATAAATGTTGTGGTTCCGATTTCCTACATTTCAGAACTAGGGTAGGTAGGTAGGTTGTTTGGGTTTTTTTGCAAAATATTTTCACATTACTCATGTGTCATAAAATAAATTTAATTTATTATGTGGTGAGTAAAATTGTTAGGCTCGGCGGGAATATCTAGGGTCGGTCGGGAAATCGGAACCACAAGCTTTTTTTAGGCCTTATTATTCTTCAATATCTCCATGCTGGAAAGCACTGCCTGCTTAGTTTATGGAGCATTTATTTATACCATACCAATATGACAGTGAGTTGAAATACTTAATAATGTGTACATATCTAAATACTAAGTTGATTAATTAAACTTTTTATACTCTTGAAGTCAGTTAATCCTCATCAGTAATGAAGCTTCATCCTTAATAATGTTTCCAAATGAAATACTAAGTTAATTAATGAAGCCTGTTAATCCCTGTCACTGATAAACTCTGTTACTGATTCAATCAAAACATGTCACTTAAGTCAATCACTCAATAGTTAAAAAATGTTTGGGGGTTTTGTCCAAAGGTCCTCATTTGGTTTTTATGTCCTTATGGGTTTTTGTCCTAAGGAGTCTGCCATATAGCTGGAATATTGCTGAGTGCGGCGTAAAACTAAACTGAACTCACTCACTCCTAAGGAGTTTTTGTCCTAGGGGGCTGTCATCCACAGGGGGCTTTCACCCACAGGGGGTTTTGTCCTACAATCCGTACAACAGACCACTTCAGTGTATGCATGGTCCGATCCTTGAATGCATTTATCTCCATAATCTGAATACTTGCCAGGGCTCCCGTAAAACTAGAGCCAATCGCACACATTTTTACCCAGCTCTTGAGACCGATAGCCAGACAGCGCTGGGTAATAGGTAATTGGGTACATTGTTATAATTTGACGTTTGCCAGTCCAAACACATACCTAAAAAAGAAGTTGATTGTATCAGACAATCCAGTGATCAACATCATGAGCATCAATCTATGCAACTGGGATATGATGACATGAGTCAAGTGATAATGTGCATATCTGAAACTCAGTTACAGGAATTACCTTAGTATCCCTAAGTATTTACAAATACGCAGTAGAATACCTGCATCAACATGATTTCTTAGCCAAAATTCTTCAATCCATACCTAACAGCAATTCTATCTAAATAGTATCAAACAAAATAATAATAGTGTTGAAAACTACCTTTCTGGTGCTTCATCTAATTCAGTGCCCACACAGTTAACATTATAAAACTGTACAGTTAAAAAATCTGTAGACTTAAGTTCTGAAAAATGTTTAAAAATTCCGCCATATAGCTGGAATATTACTGAATAAGGCATTAAACAACAAACATGGCATGGGTTGATATGTGTTTGTCAGAATAAATAAGTTTTGGTCAGGTATGACAGCCTGTTGGGTAAGGGGACATAAATAAATAAAACTTATTTGTTGAAGGTCATGTAAAAATGGACATTTTAGAATGAGATATTAAGTTCTTTTTATCTGGTCTTTTCATGAAGGGGCATGAAAAAGTATAAGTTTGTCTAAATATGTCACAACCATTTGCAGGAGATCATTATTTTAAGTATATTAGTACATGAAAAACTTCTGAACCATGCACCTGTGTAATAAATAATTGTTACATAATTCACACACTTTTAACAAATCTGAATGTCCTTTTCACAATTATGTCATCAATTACAAATGCTTTAAACGGAAAAACTACCATAATTTTCTGAAAACTTCAACAGTGCTTAGTGTTGACTTTGGTGACAGGCAGTTGAGTAAATCTTTTATTTTATTTTGTGGGACACACCCATGTCCAATATTCTTCAAAAACTACCTCCATCCCTGACTCAGAGTATCTCACCTGACATTTACTGAGCATTTGTGAACTCAATCTTTAAACCTGTTTGAATTGTTAGGACTAATACATTGTTTATACTTCTATAAAAATTAAAAATCATTATTTTATTATTATTATTATTAAAATGGAAAAGGATTTGCTTTTCTTGTTTTAATTAATCTTCTTGAAAACTATCGATCTTCCAGAATACAGAACAGGGATACAGCTTTTTGCGAAAGGGGGGAAGGGCACAGTTCATTTTCACCCGTTGTCACGAGAGTTTCAATGGTCATTTAAAAAACTTTCAGAACAAAAAGGGGGTGCACACCCCTGCACACACCCTACACCCCCTCTGGATCTGCTTATGCAGGACTCTTGTATCCCAGAACCAGCTCTTGTTAACAGTCCCCAGAATATGCTTAGCTTCATCATTAGGCTTGCGATCATTCCTACATGCAGTGCCATGTCTCTGAGATTCTCTTCCTGACAAGGGCGGTGGGGTAGCCTAGTGGTTAAAGCGTTGGCTTGTCACGCCGAAGACCCGGGTTCGAATCCCCACATGGGGTACAATGTGTGAAGCCCATTTCTGGTGTCCCCCGCCGTGATGTTGCTGGAATATTGCTAAAAGCGGCATAAAACCAAACTCAGTCAGTCAGTCTTCCTGACAACATTAAACTTTATGATTCTCTGACAACTTTCAAATCTTGTATTAAAAATGATGTTTTCAAGAGCACCTATACCTCATTCTTTTAAACCAACATTAATGTATTGTATATAATCCTTTAATTTCTTGTAGCACCTTGAGCATGCACAAGTGTGTTGATACAGGTACATTATAATGTCCATTATCAGTCCTAGTGTCATTAAAGAACGAGTTCAGGTCTCAAATGTACTTGTGATTTGTTTTTGAAGTCTAATAAAGTACCTTGAACATTCCTGATTAGAATTGGTCTATAACAACCTATATTGGTTATAGTGAGCGAGTGAGTTTAGTTTTATACGAGAGAACGCTTAAGCATCTAGGCTACCCCATCGCCGCCTATACTTGTGATAACAGGCCACTTAAAGAGTCAGGTGATCAGGCTGTGTGAAGCTGGTTGATGGCAAGTCATCATTCACACAAGAATATATTTAGGAGATAAACATCATGTGTTGGCGAATTTCCGGGTGTTATTGAATATTTGAAGCACGGGAATTCCGTCACAATATGATTTTAATAACGTCATCACAGCTGACGACGTAACAATACAATGGTGTGAGCGATGTTTGTATGTATTAATACGCAGAGAATTTCCGGGAATCAAATACCATTAGATCACGTTTTTCAACCAATCAGATTATAGAACACAGGGACTTTTGGTTTACAATGTTGTTTATAATATCGATCACAGGCTTGTCTCATCCAGACTTGATACTTTGTATATCACCAACTGCAGCTAAACATTTGGGTAGTGGGGCTTTAAACAACCACAGGGATGGTGAGGTAGCCTAATGGTTAAAGCGTTCACTCACCACGCCAAAATCCCAGGTTCAATTCCCCACATGGGTACACAGTATGAAGCCCATTTCTGGTGTCCCCTGCCGTGATATTGCTGGAATATTGCTAAAAGAGGTGTAAAACTTAATTCACTCACTCACATCAACAGCCACAAATTATATCTTGCTCGACATTAACTGAATGTATTTTGTCCAAAACAAATCAAACATTTTATGAAAAACACTGAAACAGATTAATTACTGACAAATCATTTTAACCCCTTTTTTAGTTCAGAACTAAAATCGAGCAACTATTCAAATTAATCTGTTTGCTTGACCAACGGACATAACTATATCAGATTGTAGTAGTTCAATAGGCTTGTCTTACTGTCAGCATAAAAGATTTAATATGATTGTTTGTATAACATGGTATAATAAATGGATCAAAGATTGACCTCAGTGAAATTATTTGCTAACTGAGATCTAACCCAGTTGTCTGTTGACTACAGGATTTATGCCATCGGGACGAACGGCGGTGTACCAGCATTGTAAGATTTAG